TGGTGGTGATGATGATGATGGTGGTGGTGATGATGATGATGGTGATGGTGATGATGGTGATGACAGTGATGATGACAGTGATGATGATGGTGATGATGGTGGTGATGATGATGATGGTGGTGATGGTGGTGATGGTGATTGTGATAGTGAGGTGATGATATTGATAATGATAATAACAACAGTGATAATGACAATGAAAATGATGGTGATAAAGTCAGAAGCACGTAATGTCTACTCAGTGGTAACGATGAGCCAGAATCTGTTCTAAGGAAACACTTTCCAATGAGCAGATCCATCCAGTCTTACCAACAAGTCTATGGGATAGAAACAATTTTTCCCATTTCACAGGTGAGCAAAGCAACGCCTACAAAGGCAATAACAACCCAAGCTCACCAGCTTAGCAGGACCACGGATCCAGTAGAAACAAGTAACCCTATGGGCACCTTTCATTCCTACCCGCTGCTTTGCGGTGCTCCCATTAATGGAGATTCACGGTAATGGAAAGAAGTTTGGCCTAGATGTTGGAAGGTATTAGCACTTGGCACTTGTGGGAATGTGGCAAGATCCTGTGTTTTCTGAGTGTAAAGTGATATATTTTTTAAATATATCCTTTGGCAGTTAGTTCTGGAAATATCAGGGGGACCACTTTGCAAAGTATATGACTGTCTATTTACTATGCTGTACACCTGAAACTGATCATGAAAATCAACTGTAATTGAAAACAAAGATAAATAAATTTTAAAAAATGCATTGGCACCACTTGAGGTCACCCCAGGCCATGGTTTTGAAAATCTTTTAATATAGTGAAAGAATGAACCATATATCTCATCAAAGACAGTATTTCTAGGTCACCAGATGACTGATGAGGGAAAAGCTACTTTTTTTTAAATGTTTTTGTTGATTTTAGAGAGAGAGGAAGGGAGGTGGAGTGAGAGAGAGAAACACAGATGATAAGAGAGAGTCATTGATCGGCTGCTTCCTGCATGACCTCTACCAGGAATCGAACTACCGACCTTTTGGTTCATGGGGTGATGCTCGACCCACTGAGCCACACCGGCTGGGCGGAAAGTGAATTTTTATAGAACTCCAGCTAAGAAATGGAGAAAGGGTGACCAACACCAAGAAGATAAAAGAGATTTGTGCAACTCCGTGTTCATTGCAGGGTCACTCACAATACCCAAAATATGGAAACACCGAAGTGTCCACTAACGAATGAATGAATTAAAAAAAAAAAAATGGTAGACATAGGCAATGGATATTATTCAGCCATAAAAAAGAAACTTTGCCCTGGTCAGTGTGGCTCAGTGGTTAAGCATCGTCCTGGGCACCAAGAGGTCGCTGGTTCGATTCCTGGTCAGGGCACATGCCGGGGTTGTGGGCTCCATCCCCAGTAGGGGGCGTGCAGGAGGCAGTTGATCTACGACTTGCTCTCATCATTGATGTTTCTCTCTCTCCCTCTCCCATCGTCTAAAATCAATAAAAACATTACATATATACATATATATATATACTTTCAACAATAAAGATAGATTTTTATAAAAGAAGAAATTTTATCATTTGAGACAACATGGATGAGCCTAGAAGTTATGTCAGACAGACAAAGATAAATACTATACGATCTCAATTACATGTGGAATCTTTAAAAGAAAAAAAAAAACAACTCACAGAAACAGAGAACAGATTGGGGGTGGCCAGGAGCAGGGGTTGGCGTGGGGTCCAGGGGTGGACACGTCACTTACTTGTCTACCAGCTTCTTCGCGAACCCGAAGTCGGTGAGCTTGACGTGGCCGTCCCGGTCCAGCAGTATGTTCTCGGGCTTCAGGTCCCTGTAGACGATCTCCTTCGAGTGCAGGTACTCGATGGCACAGATGATCTCGGCGGAGTAGAAGATCCCCGCGCTGCTGGAGAAGCGGCCCCGGTTACGCAGGTAACTGAAGAGCTCCCCGCCCGGCACGAACTCCATCAGCATGTAGAGGAAACGGTCGTCGTGGCAGGTCCAGAACCTGCGGGAGACGACACGGTGAGCGAGGGATGGGCCTCCGAGAGACTCGGGGTGCAGACGGGCATGGGTGCGAGGATGGGGCACAGGTGGATACCAAGGTACAGGCGTGGGGAGGTGTCAGGATGGGGCACAGGTGGACATTAAGGTACAGATGTTAGGATATTCATACAGACGGACAGGTGCTAATTAATATCTAAGTATTTCCAGATGTTAAGATGTGGTTACACAGATGTTATCGGTGTAGATACATTTGAAAATACAGAACAGGTAGAAGTGATGGCATGCAGGGAGATGCACATTAGGATATGGGTGTCATGCCCNCTTATAAGGACCCCGGTCCCGTGGGATCAGGACCCACCCTAGTGACCTCATTTGACCTCAATCACCTCTTTAAAGACCCATCTCCAGCCCAGCCGGGCGTGGCTCAGCGGTTGAGCGTCGACCTGGGATCCAGGCGATCGGGGTTCGATTCCCGGTCAGGGCACATGCCCGGGTTGTGGGCTCGATCAATGACTCTCTCATCATTGATGTTTCTGTCTCTCTCCCTCTCCTTTCCTCTCTCTGAAATCAATAAAGATATATTTAAAAAAATAAAATAAAATAAAATAAAATAAAATAAAATAAAATAGATACGGGTATCCTGATGAAATGTTCAAAGGCTTGAGAATGCACGAGAGTGAATATTGTGTTTTGGTAATAAACTGGCTAAATGCTGTCCTGCAAAACTCATATATTTAAGGGCCTCAGCATGGGGCTGTATTTGGAGATGGGTCTTTTTTTTCTTTAAATATATCTTTTTTTATTGATTTCAGAGAGAGAGGAAAGGAGAGGGAGAGAGAGAGACAGAAACATCAATGATGAGAGAGTCATCGATCAAGCCCACAGCCGGGCATGTGCCCTGACCGGGAATCGAACCCCGATCGCCTGGATCCCAGGTCGACGCTCAACCACTGAGCCACGCCCGGCTGGGCTGGAGATGGGTCTTTAAAGAGGTGATTGAGGTCAAATGAGGTCACTAGGGTGGGTCCTGATCCCACGGGACCGGGGTCCTTATAAGAAGAGGAGCTGAGGACACAGACTCCCACGGAGGGACGACCACCTGCGGACACAGGGAGGAGACGGCCGTCTACACGCCCAGGAGAGAGGCCGCAGGAGGAACCAGCCCTGCGCACGCCTGGATCCCAGACTCCCAGGCGCCAGGCCTGGGTGAGATAAATGTCTGTTTTTTAAGCGGCTCCGTCTATGATATTCGCTCTGACATCTCTAGGAAACGCGTACCCAGTGGGCCCATCTTCAGGGAGCACAGCCAGGTCAACGGAATGACGTTATCGGGACTGAAGATGCCCAGGCCGCGCTAATGGACCGCCTGCCGTCACCTGCCGGCTGAAGGTGGCCATTAAGGAGTCCAAAGTGAGAGAGATTTCTAAGCCATTACGGGGAGGGAGGCCGCCCAGGAGAGCCGGGCTCGAGGGCTCCTTCTTTCAACGGCGTTGATGAGCTCCGTTAATGGGAGAAAAGGCAGCCATGAGGAATCGAGGGGGGGGGAAGAGCAGAGTCCCGGGCAGATCTGTGAAACCTTGGAGACAGGAAGGCCGGGGTTGACGGGCGAAGAATGTTTTCAAGGAGAGGAGACGCAGGAAAAAGAGACGGGGGATTTGGAGCCAAGGGGGAAATTGGGGACACGTAGTGCGGTTGGCAGTTAGACACACAGGCCGTTAGACAGTTAGCAGAGCAAGGACCATGGGCCAGGTACCGAAGGTCGCCAGGTGCCTAGCAAAGGACGACTGTAGGGTGGGACCTCGCCCCCAGGGTGGCCTTTCCTCCCCAGCACATCGCTGGTCATGCGGTTTGAACCCCCCACCCGCCCCATCCCTACCTCTCCTCCCTGGAGATAACATCTAGGCCTCGGTTGTGTTTCAGCTCCAGGCCCAGGAAAGCAGCAAAACCAAATAAGTGACCCCCAGGGCTGACCTCAGGACCAGGTGCATCCGGTTATGACGCCCGGGCCTGGGGCCGACCCATCCATCAGTAGAGACAGTGACCCTGAAAGGACACACCTGGAAAGCTGCTGAATATTCTCCCGAGACCTTCCCCTGGGACCTCCCCTAAAATCTCCACCCTTAAAACCCTTAGGACGGAGGACCCAGCCCCCTCTCGCTCCCCGAAGCAAACCCTGGTCTTTCCTTACCTCTCCCGGACCCAGGTGCATCGCCTCCTCTCTCCTAAGCCCTAAGGGCCCTTCCTTTGTCTCTATAACTAGTTCCCTGAGCCCACGTCTTCGACCAATTACTTCTCCCACCTCTGTGATTTTATACAGAAATGTCCTCTTGCAGTTTGAGGCTTGGCTCTGAATTCTTTCCCGGCCACAACTCAAGTACCGAGGTTGCCGAGCCCACGGGTCTAACACCTGGTGCTGTTCCCCCCGCTGCCAACGACGGATGAAGTTAACCCCGGTCAGGCTAAAAGCTCAGAGAAAGAGGCTCGGGGCACCGTCTCCTGGAGGGTCTTGCCCTCTCCACAGGATGGGCCACGCCAGTGAAATAACGTGAAACAGAAAACACGGCTTTCTGGGGAGCTAGCTTGCAGGGACCCTACAGATAAACTCCAAAGAACACCACAGAGAAATTAGCACGTGCCATGGTCAGGAGAGTACAGTGGACGCCAATAAATAGACAGGTACGTCTGTCAAGAGAAATAACAGCCCTCACAGAAGCAATAAACTTTTCTACGTCAAAGAAGGGTGCTGTTTTAAGAAGAAAAAAATTGAAAATAAAAGGACAGTCTCCCTCCTGGGAGCATGCCTGGGCCTTGCCCTTTCTGTTCCCCTTCCACCCCCCAACCCCCCAGGAAAGAAAATAAAAATAAAAATAAAAGACAACACACTGGCCTGGCCAGCGTGGCTCAGTGGTTAAGCATCATCTGGTGCACCAGGAGGTCGGGGTTCGATTCCAGGTCAGGGCACATGCCCGGGTTGCAGGCTGGATCCCCAGTCGGGGGCGTGCAAAAGGCAGCTGGTCCATGACTCTCTTGTCATTGATATTTCTCTCTCTCCCTCTCCCTTCCTCTCTCTCTCTAAAATCAATACAAACATATTTAAAAAAATAAAATAGAACGCATTCACGCATGCATATTAACCTGTGACTCTAAGCACAGCCGTTTGCAAGGACAACGAATGCATCAGAGGTTTCTCATCCCAGCCCTCTGCCCGTAGGGCTGACTTCAGCTCAGAGGCTCTTTTCTATCTCAAAGAATCACTTTCTACCTTTCAAGTCCATCATTCATTGTGTTTGTTTGCAAAGTGCTTGGTCAGGGCCCCTACCCCAAGGCGTTTTCATTCAATGAAGTCGCCGCCTAACTTAAAAGTCTGCCTTTATTTCCCTGGATGCAGCAACAGTTAGACTTCTGCCCCTGAAGGTAGATAAGGAGAGAGTGCCCAGGCACCCTATTTTCTTGGCCTCAGTTTCCCGAGCAATCTGAGGCCCTGGAATGTGCTTCCTCTTTTCCAACCTGGATCCACTGTAACCATACATCTATCCATGTATATCATCTATCAATCATCTACCTATCCATCCATCCATCCATGCATCCATCCATTCATCTATCCACCCACCCATCCATCCATGCATGCATCCATCCACCTATCTATCCATCTACCCATCCATCCATCCATCCATCCATCCATCCATCATCCATCCATCCACCTATCCATCCATCCATCTATCCATCCATTCATCTACCCATCCATCCATCCATCCATCCATCCACCCATCATCCATCATTCATCTNGAGGCCCTGGAATGTGCTTCCTCTTTTCCAACCTGGATCCACTGTAACCATACATCTATCCATGTATATCATCTATCAATCATCTACCTATCCATCCATCCATCCATGCATCCATCCATTCATCTATCCACCCACCCATCCATCCATGCATGCATCCATCCACCTATCTATCCATCTACCCATCCATCCATCCATCCATCCATCCATCCATCATCCATCCATCCACCTATCCATCCATCCATCTATCCATCCATTCATCTACCCATCCATCCATCCATCCATCCATCCATCCATCCATCATCCATCCATCCACCTATCCATCCATCTACCCACCCATCCATCATCCATCCATCCATATCTATCCATCCATCCATCCATCCATCCATCCATCCATCCATCCATCCCTCCATTCATCCATCCTTCCATCCATCCATCCATCCATCCATCCATCCATCCATCCATCCATCCATCCATCCATCTGTGGCAGTGGTCCCCAATCCAGGACAATTTCACTTTTGGGGAAATTTCTGACAATGCCTAGAGACATTTTTAATTGTCCCCATTGTGGAGGGCCTGTTACTGGCATCAAGTGGGTGGAGACCATTTAATTTAACTTAATTTAATTTAATTTAATTTAATTTAATTTAATTTATTTATTTTTTAAATATATCTTTATTGATTTCAGAGAGAGGAAAGGAGAGGGAGAGACAGAAACATCAACGATGAGAGAGTCATTGATCGAGCCTGCAACCCGGGCATGTGCCCTGACCAGGAATCAAACCCTGATCACCTGGATCCTAGGTAAATGCTCAACCGCTGAGCCACACCCAGCTGGGCTAATTTTATTTAATTTTAAATAAAATTAAATCAGAAAGTGCAAAGAGGGATCTTCACTTCCGGGCAGACAGTACGCTTCTCTCCCCAGACATTTTGACTTTGTCATTAGGCTTCTGCTCCCTGGACAATGACTCAGCTCTTCTAAAATTATCTCTCTGTTGGCTGCTCCAGCCTTGGGAAACGGCTCACTCCCTGAACCAAACGTGTTCTTTCACGAGCCCTTAATGAGCACTTTGGCTCGTTCTTAAGAACACAACCAGGAGCTGGGGATAGACCCTGGGTGGGGACTCACAATTTAACCAGGAACGGGTGGCTGACTTCCTTCAGGACCGACTTCTCGTTGTGGACGTGCTGCTCTTGCTTTAGACGAATCACGTCAGGAATGCTCATGACCTTCAGAGCAAAGAACTGCTGGCCTGTCTTCTGCCTGACGAGCTGCACGCGGCCGAAGGTCCCGGTTCCTGCAGGGGGACAAGAAACGAGGCCGTGTTGGCGACCTGTGTTGGACCATGGGGCCCGCCACTCGAGACTGCCCAGGACGCCCAGAGAGCGTGTCCCCAGTAAGACGCACACTGGACTACTACTCGGTCATCAAAAAGGAAGGGGACCCTGACATTCGCAGCAACATGGATGGACCTAGAGTGTAAATCCTCACCTNTTCTTTCTTCTGCCCTGGAAGATATGTTCTTTTTCTTGTTTGTTTTACTCTTACCCAAGGATATTTTTTCCATTGCTTTTCAAAGAGAGTGGAAGAGAGAGAGAGAGAGAGAGAGAGAGAGAGAGACACATTGATTGGTTCCCTCCCCCACGAGACCGACTAGAGCAGGGAATTCAAGCCTGCAACCCAGGTACATGCCCTTGACCCGCAATCGAATCCAAGACTCTTCAGTCCACCAGCAGACGCTCTAACCACTGAGCAAAACTGACCACGGCGAGAGAGGGGATCTTAAAAGCTCTCATCACGGGGGAAGAAAAAAAAAAACTGTGTCAATAGGTGGGGCGGCGGATGTTAACTGGACTTATTGAGGGGTGGAGAGCAGATGGGAGACAGAAACAGATAAATTTCACTATATAATAGTCTTAAATTTTTTTTTATTTGTAAACTTTGGAGATGTTTACTGTGCATAATAATAAAATATAAGTTAGAGGGGTTAGGGGTAGAAAAGGAAGGGAATTGAGGTGAACAGATGAGTAGTTATAAAATAGTCATGAGGATGTGAAGTACAGCACAGTCAATAATATTCTAACAACTCAGCAGGGTGCTGGATGGGTGCGGGATTTATTAGGATATTAAGTTGTATAATGTCTGGTCACTGGGGTGAACAAAATATATATATATATATATAATTAAAAATGAGATTGATACATTACATAATTATTGCTGAATAATTACTCTATCATCACGTGTAAGTTTATCATCGTAAAACTCGTTTCTTTTCTTAGGGCCTGTCTCCCCTCAAAGTAAGACCACGAAAGGTTATAAACTACAACGTATAAAATAATAAATGTCTAAAGTTCTCCCTAACGACTTGATTTTTTAAACTGTCGATACACGGCCCGGCCGGCGTGGCTGAGTGGTTGAGCGTCGGCCTGTCAACCAGGAGGTCAGGGTTCGATCCCCATGCAGGAGGCGGCTGATCCATGACTCTCCCATCATTGAAGTTTCTCTCTCTCTCTCCCTCTCCCTTCCTCTCTCTGAAACCAATAAAGATATAGGTAAAAAAATAAAAATAAAAAGGTATTTTAAAAGAAGGCGTGGTAATTCTCTGATTAAACTTAAAACCACAGAAATGGACCCGTTAAAAGGCTCAATTGTATGGTAGGAATATTGTATGTCAATAACCAAAATGTAACTAAAAAAGCCCCCAACAAAGTGTGGTTTGGATGATGTTAGGAAGATTCTTTTAAAAACGTGGACTATTTATTCAAAGATCAGCTGAGTAAACGGAATGCAATTCAGCTCAGCACCAGGGGGAAGGGGGTTCGTTCTGTGAGTTCCCTCGTCTAGACAGCTTAAAAAACAAAACACACACACGCGCACGTAACCCTCTGAAAACTGCGTGGACTCCAGCAATATCCGATTTCCACTGTCCTGTTTTAAAGGGTAAGAACGGAACAGATATTTTAGAAGCACGACCGTTTATTTTGGCAGGTTGTTGACTAAGTTGCCCTGTCTCCTGTCAGAGCCCCAAACAGTCGCAAAGGTAAACAAGAAACACAGGAAATCTCGCCGCACGCAGAACCCCAACCCCGTGTTCTGCGAGGGAAATGCCTGGGATTCCTGGTGCTCGCGTTGGCGGATGTCTGCAGCTCTGAATGGCACTGGGGTGCGGTTTCACCAATAAGAGCGAAGGCCTGGCCTGGGTGGCTCAGTGGTTGAGCATCAATCTATGAACCGGGAGGGTCACTGGTTCGAATCCTGGTCAGGGCACATGGGCATGCTGTGGGCTCGATCCCCAGTAGGGGGCGAGCAGGAGGCAGCCGATCAATGACTCTCATCATTGATGTTTCTCTCTCCCCCTCTCCCTTCTTCTCTGAAATCAATAAAAGCATTTGATAGGTATGTAGATAGACAGTCTCGCATGCCAAGGCAGTGTTTTCTCAACCTCACTATCGTTGACATCTGGCGCCAGGTGACTCTCTGATATGGGGCGTCCTGGGCACTGTTAGGGTGTTGAGCAGCCTCCCTGGTCCCCACCCACCAGGTGCCAGTAGCACGCCCCGATATCGCAATTCTAACAACCACAACCACCACCACCCAGACACGGCCCGGCGTCCGGTGGGAGCAAAATCGCCCACAGCTGAGAACCGCCACCTGAGAGCGAGCATCGTCCAATCGGACTTCCTGCGAGCACACAAACAGCGACACCTGGGCCGTCCCACCCAAGAACCACAGGCTCACCAGTGGCCACTGAGGATGGAAACTGTGGCCACGGCCTTCGTGTTGCATTTCACGTGGCTAGTGGCTACCATGGTGGACAGAGTTAGAGTTTCTACCGACCAGCTCATGTTCAACTTTTTTTTTTTTTTAATATATCTTTATTGATTTCAGAGAGAGGAAAGGAGAGGGAGAGAGAGAGAAACATCAATGATGAGAGAGTCATTGATCGAGCCCACAACCCGGGCATGTGCCCTGACCCGGAATCGAACCCCGATCGCCTGGATCCTAGGTCGACGCTCAACCGCTGAGCCACGCCCGGCTGGGCTCAACTCATTTTAAGTCAACTGCCAACTGAGAAATATTTAGCAAGCTCCATCTCTGACAACACACGGTTTATGAGGTCCCCGTCATGAATTCAAGGGGTCCCCAAAACATGTACACACGCTTTAACAGCTGATCAGTCATGTAATGTTCACTCCTTTTCAGGTTTAACGGATTTGAAATAATGGGTGAAGCCAGACTAAGCTTTAGACAAAAAAAAAATTATCCTAAAGGGCCCCTAGACTTTTTTTTATGGGAGTTCGTAAGAAATAGAGTTTACGGTACAAATCCAGCAACCATCGACCCACTGAGGGCGCACCAATACCGCACTTGAAGTGATTCTCGATGTTTGCGATTCCATGGCCTCGCGTTAACAGCAGGCCGGGATCAGAAGGGTCGTCCGTTTGAAAACAGGCCTTGACCGAAAAAATGATTCGTTTCTGTAGATTCTTTTACATGTTGAAGATGAGCTTTATGTTAATAAACACTGACTTTATATAATCATTCAAAGTGCGTCTACATTTTGGGGGGGACACCCTATGTACAACAGCACAGTCTTTAAAAAAAAAAATCATAGTCCATACCTTGCTTCATTATATTAACTATGTTTTTTTTTAGGTATCTCCCTAAAAAAGTCAAGTGATGTATTACTGGGTGTGGGGAGCTATAAATGAATCTGAAATACCCATGATGCACACAAGGCCGGTCCCCGATTTNGGGATTTAACAAACAAACAAACAAAAGTCATAGACACAGACAATATCATGACAATTACCAGAGGGAAAGGGGGGCTGGGGGAAGTAGAAGAGAGTATAGGGGGGGTAAATGGTGACGGAAGAAGACTTGACTTGGGGAAATGGACACACAATGCAATGTACAGGTGACGTATCCTAGAACTATACACCTGAAACCTGTATCATTTGAAGCCGTGTCACCCCAATATGTTCAATAAAAAAGAAAGAAAGAAAAACCATTAATGATCACAGCTAGAATAACTCTGATGACCTCAGTTGGGTTTTCAATGAACATCTTTCATCTCAATGACTTTAGAAGACAGGTGGGTTGAGGACGGTAAGGATGGGACCTACCTCGGTCTCAGGGTTGGGAGAGACCCCCACTTTGGAGGAAATCAAGTTTCAGATACAACATCGGGGGGTGGCCCAGAGTGAAGGACGAAAGGCTCACTTGTAGACGACATGGGAGGAAATGAAGGACGCGTCAGTCGAGGGCCACAGAGGGAACCGAGATTTGTGAGGTTGGAGCAAACACGTCAAGAGGAGGAAGGGATCGGAAGGCCCTTGGAGTGAGTTCTCTGAGCCGAGGGCGCCAGGAAGTGCCTGGGTGGATGTCCGTTGTGTACGGCGTTGTTGTTGTAAATATTTATCGGAGAAGCAGCACCCGGGGGAAGGGCAGCAAGAGCGCTGTGGAGGGTGCGGTGCAAACAAGACGGATGCCCGAGACCAAGGGGCAATGAGCTGGGACTGTCGGGAGGGGTACAGCCAAGAGGTGGTTAGGGGTCAGACTGGATCGGGCGGGCGGGTGGAGAGGCCTCAGGGCAGGGGCTAGGTATCTGAGCAGCAACCAGGTAGATAGGTCACCTGGCAGGTGAGCAGAGGTCTCCTGAGTTACTCTGTTTGCAGAAGATGACATGTTCCACCTCGAACCCTGTGGAGATGTTGAGGGCAAGGGATGTGGCAGCTGGAATTACGCCCCCCTGACCCCCAAAAGGTACGTCCAAGTTCTAATGCCTGATACCTGCGAATAGCACCTTAGTTGGAAACAGGGCCTTTGCAGATGTGACTAAGGGAAGGCCCTGAGATGAGGTCGTCCTGGGTCAAGGTGGCCCGACGTCCAAGGGCAGGGTCCTTGTAAGAGGCAGAAGCGGAGACACAGACACAGAGGAGGAGCCTCGGGGAGATGGAGGCAGAGACGGGAGGGTGGCGGCCACCAGCCCGGGGACACCTGGAGCCCCAGGAACTGGGAGAGGCAGGAAGGACCCTCCCCTGGAGCCTCTGGAGGGAGCTCGGCCCTGGGACCCCTGGATCTCAGATGTCTAGTCTCCAGGATGGAGAGAGAATGGATTTCAGTTGTAATCCACCAGATTTGTAGTGTTTTGTTATGACAGTCACGGGAAGCACCCCACAAAAGACCTACTGAACGCCAAGGGAGACACGGCCCCCCCCCACCCCAACAGGCACTGCGGTGCAGACGACACTTTCTCCAGTGCCCGAGAGAAAGGTCTAGATTCAAGCTCTGCACTTGAGACCAAACAGCTCCAAGATGGTAACGGAAGTCGCCAGCATGGATACAATCAACATTTGGATTTTTTTTTTTAGCATTGTCTTTTTTAATTAAAAAAAATATATATTTTTAGCACTTCTATTGAAAGTTCTGTTTCGCATTATAACATCCTGTTTTTGTTGTAAAAACAGGATCTTCTCAAATTTTTCTGAAAATAGGACTCAGAGTGAGAGTGTGTGTGTTTTTAAAATTTTTATGTTTCCCCTTTTTTTTAAAAAAAAAATATTTTTTTTTATTGATTTCAGAGAGAGGAAGAGAGAGACAAACATCAGCGATGGGAGAGAGTCATGGATCAGCTGCCTCCTGCACACCCCCTACTGGGGATGAAGCCCCCAACCCGGGTTTGTGCCTTGACTGGAAATCGAACCCGTGACCTCCTGGATCATACATCAATGCTCAACCGCTGAGCCACGCCGGGCTGGGCTGTTTTGCTTTTTTAAAAAAATGTATCTTTAGTTTTGAAAGTAGCATGGGCTGCAATCGCCTGTAGGAACTGGTGTGTTCTCCTAAGAACTGCAGGACGCAATCACCTTTTCCAGGTAGCTGTTGGAAAAACCCGTATAAATCTCCCAGTGGGTTAAGTCGGGGGACCGAGGAGAGCAGGAAAGACGGTCTGAAAGGTGAGTCATTCTTTCAAACCTGGGATTAACCACAGGGTGCAGCCCCGGGAGGCCCCAGGTTTAGCCTCGACAGTCCTTTCGGGCTCAGTGGGGCGGGGACACCCCAGGGGGTCTTGGAGAGGTCACAGGAGCACCTGGCAGGAGATGAAAGGCTGGAAAACCGCCTGGAGGTGTCCTATGGGAAACTCCCAGGTGAGGACCAGGTTGACTCACAGACGTGGGAGCAGCCTCCCACCTGGAAAGTCTCCCTCTGCTTTGTGTCCTGACACCCCAGGCAAGCGGGACCCAGCCGTGCAGGAGGATTTGATTCCCCGTCAAGGGCACGCACCTGGGCTGCAGGTTCGATCCCTCCGCCTGTCTGGGGAGCGTGTGAGAGGCAACCAATCTATGTGTGTCTCTCACATCGACGTTTCTCTCTCTCTCTCTCTCTCTCTCTCTCTCTCTCTCTCCCCTTCCACTCTCTCTGAAAATCAATGGAGAAAATACCTTCCAGTGAGGATTGACAATAACATAATAAATTAAAATGAAATGAAATGAAATAAAAAATAATAAAATAAAATAAAAAATAAAATAAAATAAAATAAAAATAATATATAAAATAAAATAATAAAATTAAAAATAAAATAAAATATAAAATAAAATAATAAAATTAAAAATAAAATAAAATAATAAAATAAAATATAATATAAAATAATAAAATTAAAAATAAAATAATAAAAAATAATAAAATTAAGTTAATAAAATTAAATAAAATAATAAAATCAAAATATTAAAAAATTAAATAAATTAAAATAAAATAAAATAAAGGAAACAAACATAATCCAAATACCAACTGCACTTCCCCATGAATGCCCTAATAGTAAAACAAACAGGTAGCATCCTACCCTACACACCCAAGCCAGCCTGGAATCGGCCATCCCACCCATGCAATGGAGTACGGAAATGCTGCTGGACTTAGGAGCTTCTTAGAAGCATTATAGAGTTGGTTTTATTTATGTTTTTTTTTCCACATTGCAACTCAGAAAAAAACAACCTGCCCAGTTTATATACACAGGGTGTCCTCCCCAAAAATGTATACACACTTTGAACAATTATGAATTCTAATGGGTTAAATCTGAAAAGAAAGGAACATCCTTTGAACTATCAGAAAAAAGTGTGTGTACATTTTTTTTTGGTGAATATATATGTACAAATATATATATATATATATACACACACACACATATATATATATTTATATATATGTAAAAGAACCCGTGGTATCAGTTAATTAACCCATATGCTCAACACTGCTTGCGACATCCCGCAATTTTATCTCAGGCCTCCAGGTAGAAACTAGCTTTGCTTCCGGGACTCGAGGGCCAGACTCCCTGCCCCCCTCCAGGTAAGGCTCTGCCAGCTCATCTCCTGACAATCCTGTGGCTTAGAACTGGTTCTCCTGGCCCAGCGCGGGTGTCGGGGAGGGAGGGACCCAGAGAGGTGATAATTATTCCTTGTGCGCAGCTCCAGCCAGGTGGGAGAAGACCGAGATCTGAGAGCCTCAATTAACTCAATTAATCCCTTGCCCAGCACCGGCACCCACCTGCCTACACAAAAACCTACGGTCGCATTTGTTCCTAATCGGAATGAAGCGTTTCTCCCCGTAGGTATGCGTGGAAGAGGTGTCTTTTTTTTTTAAGTTTTTGTTGATTTTACAGACAGGGAGGGAGGGAGAGAGAAACATCAATGGCGAGAAAGAATCACTGATAGCTGCCTCCTGCACGGCCCTTTATTGGGGATCACGTGCCCTGAACCGGGAATCGAACCTGGGTTCACAGGTCAACGCTCAACTACTGAGCCACCCTGGCCGG